TCTAGATAGGTAGGTAGGCAGAACAACACAAAGTTACTTATTTGAGGACCACTTCGGTTCCTGAAAATCATCGTCTCCGAAATGAGGTGAAGCAATGGGAATTCCATAGTGATGGGGCTTGTCATGCGAATTAAGTTTCGACGATGCGCAAGCTACATAGCTTTTACGAACCCGACGGTTCTGTTTTCCCACGCGTTCGTTCTCTCGGTTACACGTCAGGCGAAAAAGCTTCCATGCATCTACGTCCCTAGTGCTGCGCATTGCGCGTGCCGCACCGCGCGCTGAAGGCCCCACCATCCCACGGGCCTCGTTTAGTGGGGCTGGTATGGACTTTGTCCAGCGGGGTCTTGCTTACGGGGATCATAGTGCGCTTTCAGGTCGGGAAGATTATCAATCAGTCTCTATGGCTCAGTCGGTAGAGCGTTGGTCTCATATCCATACATATGACTCTAGATCATCTAGAGATATCCAAAGGTCGCAAGTTCGAGCCTTGCTAGGGACAGTTTCTTTTGCTCTTTGGGGTGTCTGAAGTCGTTTTTGCGTGAATTTGTTGTTTTTTTGTGGGTTTGAGGTGGTTTGTTTGGTTGGTTAGGTGTAAATCGTCTTTTTTGACTGCTTGGCTGCGTCTGTCTTATTGAAGCACGACCGCCTATCCCGCTCGACTCTAACTAACAAATACACACACCATGCTATACCGTACCGGTGTTGTTTCGCGCAACGCTTCATTCAATAGCCAAAATCTGTCCATATGTAGCCGTGCAACTGATGAGAACGTGGTTTTTCAATAGTTGAGTCAATGAAGAAGAAGAGAATGGAGGTCGAATGCTTTGGGGGTGGTTCTATTTTAGCTTGAGTTGAGCTTCAGACGGCTCATTGCCACTTTTGAGTGCGATATATTATACTGAAATGCACACATGGATCATGCGCAAACACTTGACAACTCGTTCCAGTGCTCAGGATCCAGTGTCAAGTACTCAATAATATTCTACTTCTTCTTATTTCAATGGGGCTGAGTTTAGCCAATGTCTATCTTATATCTAAAGGTGAAGAGCCAAAGTCACCGCGAGACCTACTCCTCCCGCTTCCTCTTCAGTCTTTCTTGTTCTCGCGCATTTACCAGCGACATCGGCAGGTACCGGTCATCAAACGGGGCATGGCTCGGGAAGCCGCGAGGCCGCGATCCGCTATCAGCCGGGGTTTCGGAAGTATATCTTCCCAACTCTCCGTCCTCTTGAAAGAGACAGGGCAACAGTTTCTGAACGACGGTGGCCTGGCGAATTGCCTCGTAAATCTTTGAAACGCTGGTACCAATTGTACTGGACTGCTCTTCTCTAAGGCCCTGGTGAAAATGAACTTGCAATTCCTGGCGCACGAGACCATGGAGCGCTGCAGACCCTAGGCCTAGGCCTTCAGGGTACGTGTAGTTCGATTTGGGGTTGTTGGATGGGTCAGCGACCCACGCTTCCATGGTTTGCCGGAACTCTTCTCGGACAGCCAGGACTTGCATCAATGAGACGCAGCTAGATCCATCGTGGGCTAAGGAGTCCATGATGTGGGAGGCGGCTTTGGACGCGACAACCGAGCAGCGCTGGGTGTGGCTGTACTTGTTTGCCCCGTACCACCACGCTCTTACCAGCTCGTCCAAACCAATTCTTGTCGTCGTTGCCTCAGTCGTCTGACCCTCGCTCTTGATGTCCATGTCTGCCGATAACAAGGAGGCCAGGTTCGTCATGGAAGGCGACAAAGATATGGAAGAGAGGAATTTCTCGTGATAGGCTCTCAAGTCGGCTGCCTGGCAGCATACAAGGAGGTGAGCGGCACACATGTGTGATAAGACATCGACGGCCTCCATGGTACGGCGGCCTGAGAGGAACGCAAGGGAGTTGATGCCCTGGTTGTGCATCTCGGCCGATTGGACGTGTGACGAGACTGGATGCGCGAGCGCAGCCAGCTCCGACATGTAGGCACTCATGTTGACGTCGATGCCCTTCATAGTATAGGACTGGTCAGGGTCTCCATAGACCAGGTTCGGGTCGAGACCATTGTTCGTGGCCGGATTGATCAGCTCGGAGCACTGCGAGAAGAGCATGCGCCCGATCATCTGCAGCGCCGTTCTGGTCTTGTCCATGGCGGAGGTGATGGCGGTCGCTTGAAAGTTGCCTCCAGAGTACACATCCCCTGCGGTCACATCGCCGACGACGCCTATGTCGATGACTGGGTTGTCGGAGGTTGAGTTTAGCTCGGTCCGGATCTGCCTATATGCTAGTTGAAGGTCCTCGAGATACGGACCCATCCACTGTGGCGCGGTTCGAGTTGAGTATCTGTCCTGCCATAGACCTTGGCCCGTCCGCTTCTTACCTTCCAGACCAGTCACATACTTGGAGGACTTGAGGAAGTTGCGAATATTGTTGGCCACCTCTTTCTGTCCATCGTGAGGTCGAATTCTGTGAATGAACTCATTGGTCCACTCGACGTTACCAAGTAGGCATTCGGATGTGAAAGCAGTAAGCCCCTGGGCGAGGACTGCGAGTTGGTTCGCTTCGTGAATTACCAACGCAGCCAAGGCAGCAGAGGGTGCAGTCCCGTTAATCAGGCCCAAACCCTCCTTTGGCTGCAGCTCAACAGACTGTATGCCATATTGTTTCAATGCATCGCGGGCAGACAAGACTTTTCTGCTAAGGCCTGATCCAACGGTGACGGAAATGTTGGGGTCCCCAATCAGAGTCCCCGCGATGTAAGATAGGGGCATCAAGTCCCCGGATGCCGAGATGGTGCCTCGCAAAGGAATCAACGGCGTGATGTCGTGACGTAGAAGGCTGAGAAGTGCCTCGATAACCTCCAGCCTGACGGCACTATGGCCGCGGAGGTTTTGGTTCGCTCTGATTACGATGGCGGCCTTCACCCAAGCTGTGGGAATAACATGGGACTGTCCGTCTTGATCAATTTGACTGTCGGTCAGGTCAGAGGAGGCGATGATGGCGCTTTGGGTGTGTTGGAGCAGAGAGATTTGTAGTTTCTTGAGCTGTTCCGTCCGTGAGTCGGCGCTGCCACCGAAGCCCGTGTTGACGCCATACACGACCCAGCCGTTTTCCACATGGTGATCGAGGACGTTGATACTCTGGCGTATTCGGTCTCGAATCAGTTGGTCATCCTTCACGCGAGGAACGAGCCCGTGACGCGCTACAGCAATGACGGCGGGAACGTCGAGATACAAGCCGTCTAAGGAAAAGACAAAAGCCAAGCTTCCCAAGTCTTTGACATCACGCGTTTGCTTGCGCACGAGCGTAGCATGTGTTGTTGCCATGTTAGTGGATTTGGGCGACCCTGGGGTACGACGAGATCAAGATCTTAAAAGGGGTTCGAAGTTCTGTACGCAAGGTTAGGAATTGAGTCTTGCTTGATTAAAAGAATGTTTGGGAAAAGAAACAGTCCAAAGTGCACAAAATGCGCCTTATAAATAGGCTCATGACCATAATGGTAAGCAACATCTTATCTGTGATTGTGTGGCGTAGGAATAAGGAAGGGGAGGTGAATCAGAGATGACTTCTTATGGTTGTGTCACGTCTGCCTGCCCCTCCGACACTAAGCAGGCCTGGAGAAGAAGTGAGAAGAAGTGAATTGCTACGAGTAGCCCGACTACGAGTTGGCTCTCCGCGGCAGAAGGCGTGGTCGCGAATCACTCGCTCGCTCGCTCGCTCGAGCGTTGCTCACTGCATATTATGCTCTCTGGAAGGTAATAAGCGTGGCTTATGCTGTGAGAGTGAGAGACGTCGATTCAGGACTACGCGCCTGAAGCCGAGGGTCGTTGCATCGATTCCCTGCATCTTTCTCTCCAAGTACGGTACTCTGCGATCATCGTGCATGCATGGTCCCAGATAGCCTATAGTCCAATTTTTTTGGCCTACGAGATTATCGGATCTTGTGCTCTTAATATCAGTCGCCTGTAGCATCGCGAGGCCATGATGAAGAGACGGTTCGAAATTGGTCTGGACTGTTCCGTTAGATAGGTATGTAATTGATGGTGGGCGTGTAGTCGTATCTGGAGAACAGAAGGTTCTTGAGGTGAGGTGCTCGAGGTGCCTAGCAAGCCCGCCCAGGGCGCACTCAGGCAGTAACCACTCACGGGGCCCCGGCCAACCACCTGCCGAACCTAGCACACAATGAATGGCCAGTCTCACTCTTTCATCTCCAACCTCACCTCCTTCCTTTACCTTACTTTCTATTCATCCGAACAACCTCTCTGTATCTGATGACTCGGCTAGTTCGACACCGCTTTCGATTCTCATCCTACTCATTTCAACACTTCTTCGACCACGCACCCACTCTAGATAGCAACGCAGCATCCGAAAATGGCTACCCCATCGTCGCCTGGCATCCCCAGGCCAGACTCGGCGTCACCTCCGCCTGCCACCATTCCAGATCGTCCAGCCTCTCCTGAAGTGCCACTCACCATGTCCGCCTCAGCCATCCTGATAGCTCAACCTCGCGATGTGGCCTCTGCTCTGAGCAGCGCAGGCGAGTATCCTTCAGAAAAGGTCGTCGTTAAATTCAAGGCTGTCGGAAGTGCACCCTCGCTCGCTCGAGGGGTGGCCAAGATCTCATCTACCCAGACTTTCCACACTGTCATCTGGTATCTGCGCAAGAGGCTCAAGCTTCAAGAAACAGACAGCGTCTTTTGTTACGTCAATGACTCTTTCGCCCCCTCCCTCGACGAGATTGTCGGTAACTTGCATAGTGTACGTCTATGAAGCATTTATTACTAATGGTAGACGCAAATGCTAACATGCTTGCGATAGTGCTTCAAAGATTCAAGCGGTCAGCTTGTGATTTCTTATGCTATGAATCCAGCCTTCGGCTGAGATTAAGTATGCTATTACATGGTATCCTATGGTTGAAAAACGATAAAAATGCTTCCGCCCTCTAGACTCCCAAACACCGGTAATGCAGCACGAAAGTGACGCAAAGCAACGATCTATTAGCCACCGAACGCGGTCAGCTCCTCACAACTTTTCCAAAGCGCTGGTAAATTCGTCAAGCGCCTCCTTGGAAATGGGATAGGTGTGCTCGGGTGCAGGATACTGTCGGCTCTTCACCTCGTCCCGATAGGTCTCGATGGCACGAAGACTCTCGCCCCAGACGTTGCCGTACTTCTTGACGAACTTTGGCAGGAATCGGCCGGGAGGGAAGTTTCCAGTCATGTCGACCTGCACCAAGACCTGGCCGGAGCAGCCATTGCCGGCGCCGATGCCAATGGTTGGGACAGAGAGCTTTTCCGTGACAAGTGCTGCGACTTCAGCGGGAACCGCCTCGATGACCATGGCGAAAGCACCGGCCTCTTGTACGGCGAGGGCATCCTCAAGGAGCCTCAGGGCCCCGTCGGAAGTCTTGCCTTGCACTCTGAAGCCGCCAAGGGCGTTCTGCCGTTGCGGTGTCAGTCCCACGTGCGCGAGAACGGGGATGCCCGCGGACGTGATCTTCTGGATTGTGGGGGCCATCTCCTTGCCACCCTCGAGCTTCACGCCTTGCACGCGGCCCTCTTTGACGAAGCGGATGGCAGTTTCCAGAGCCTGTTCCGGAGCTATTTCATAGCTGCCCATGGGTAAATCGCCAACCTAAGTTTGGATCAGTACGATATTTGCAGATTAGATCCAGAGTAGACTTACAGTAAATGCGGACTTGGTGGCTCTTGCGACAGAGCGGCAATGAAGCAGCATTTCTTCTACCACAACTTCGCTCGTGTCTTCCATACCAAGCGCAACCATGGCCAAGCTGTCGCCCACAAGGATAATATCCATGCCGGCATGGTCGGCAACGTGGGCACTGGGGAAGTCGTGTGCAGTCATGACTGTGATTGGCTCGCGCTTCTTGTACAGACTGCGCAAAGAACCAAGTGTGACTTTCTTTCTTTGGTTGGCAGAAGTTGTACCCATGGGAGAATGCGAGCTGTGTCGCATCTGCAATGGTTGCGTGACAGCGGAATACATGGGTCGCATCAGAGACGCTGCTGTCGAGGGTCGCGTGCTTCTCAGAAGAGAGGCACACGACCTCAGACAGGTACTTCGGATTGTAGGGAGAGACATATGGGCAGACAAGTACCTTTTTGTCTTGAATAAGAAGTAAACGTATGGAAGGGATATGCAAGTGCAGAAAAAAATGAGAATGCAAAGATGCAAATTTGGTCGTGATGATGCTGATGTTTTCAGTGTGGAGAGAAAAGATTAGGAGAAGTTTGCGTTGAAGGGCGAAGCGCAATCTTTTATTATCCAAGTCATGATGGTTTTTGCTGCGTAGAATTGAGTATCTCCAAAATTACCGGTGGTGTTTCGTTCCCGCCGCTTCGCTGGGCTGGGGGTTAGAGATGGTAAAAGCGGGTCGATCTCACAAAGCTGACCATACAGGTGCCGTGCTGGACGCTTCGCTGTGAATGTCCCCCAAGGTCCAGGGAACGGTGTCCGGTCCACCTGCGACCAACCTCCGTGATTGGACAAGGCGCCGAGGCACGTTCGGTGGTCCCCCCTCCAGGGTCCATCGCCGTCTCTTGACGGATACGTACCTTTTGTTCTGGGAAGGGATTAGTGAGCCGTGCTGCGCTTATCGTCCTGGTCCATACTACGTAGGGCGTCAGTACCATGCTGATCCTCTCAGGGCCCGTTGCTGAGGTAAGTGAGCTAAGACCGAGGCAACTCTGCCTCGGGCCCAGCGGTTTCTGCTCTCGGCCCTCCGCGAGGACGGGCATTGGGATGTCCAAGGTTTCCCTTGGCCCAGATCGGGACAAGCTGGCTAGCGAACCCGACGCTTGGGATGATGGCGCTCGCGTGACTTGACTTTTTGGAGTCTATTCTCGTTGACTTTTAGCCTTTAACATGGCCAACCGACACCGCTTTCACTGCGTATAAGTCCCCGCATACCTGGGTAGAAGGAAGTGACGGACGGCCGGTATCACGGATAGTCCCCCCCTCCCATTAGAAGACGGCGTTTCCTTCCTGGCTCGTGACAGCGTACAACCTTGCCCACGACTGCAGTCCATCCGATCCGTACTTGCGTGGGATGATGGGTTGTTCCTTGTAGAAATGTCTCAAGAGATCCCGCAAGCAGATGATGTCGTTGGACGGAACGGCCCTTATGGATTGCTTTTTCTTACAGCATCAAGGACTTACATCATTCTTGCGAACTCTACTAGTCGGCACTGCCGGTGTTTGTTGGCTGATCTGGCTCTGAATGTCTAAGGTGAGTTGAGTTCAGCTGGAGCTGTATACTTGCAACCTGAAGCAAGACTGAATGCCGCTGCAGAACCTGAGGAAATGACGATTGAATTCAAGTAACTCTTTTTTTTGAAAGTATCTGCGGCTTTGTATGTAACCCTTCGATACTGGAGGAACGTTTTGCCTCTCCAACATCGACCCCCAGTTTCGACATTGTTCCTCCGAGACGATTAAGGCTTGCATTGTCCCGCATGGCCTTAGTCATGTAAGAGCCCAAGACAGGTGGGCAGTGGGCTCCAACAGACAATAAGGGAACCTGTGTGGCTGGCAAGATCCGCGCCTAGCCGCCTAATCCTCGGACCCACCATTCCTTATCGTTGCACTTATCACTCATGGTCCGGGATCGCCCACATCATCATTGCGCGTGACTTGGCGTCAGGAACCCGATCCGACCTTCTCCTCCTCTCTGTAACCACCCACTGCACTCCTCACGATTTCAAGACCAACAACAAGCGACATCCCGTATAGGATATTGTCTCTCAAGACCCCGCGGCGAGACCTCATATATAGGGGAACCTCCACACTAACATCGATCCATCCTTCCCCGCATCCATCTTACAACAACTCTACCCCGATCGAACAGTCGTCCGAACACCCCGCGCAACTGACAAGATGAGCAGCCCACGCAGAAGAATCGAGACTGATGTAAGTCTACAGTGCTACTGGAGTCTTTGTATGATAATGGTGCAGCAAGCTCACACCTTTGTCTTTGTCTTTTGTCTAGGTCATGAAGTAACGGCGCCCCAAGTCACACCATACCTTTGGTAGCTCGCTAACCTGACGCAGGATGTGCGATTTGCCGACCGACCACCTCCTGCTTGATATACTGACCTTTGTAGGTTGATGAGTGACTATGAGGTTACTCTGGTGAACGACAACAGTAAGTTGCCTCCCTAGCCCATATTCAGAGCTGTTGCGACTAACGCCACGTCAAGTGTAAGACTTAGACCCATTCGACGACACCCTCCGATCCTAACCCCACCACCTAGGCAAGAGTTCTACGTTAGATTTAAGGGCCCTACCGAGAGTCAGTCCAACCAATACCCATGTATTAGTTTACTATGCTGATTCTCTGCAGCTCCATTCGAAGGCGGCGTCTGGAAGGTCCATGTCGAGCTTCCTGACCAGTACCCCTATAAGTCACCGAGTATCGGATTCGTGAATCGCATTTTCCACCCCAACATCGACGAGCTGTGAGTAGAGAACGTCCGACCGAGATACATATGGACGAACAAGTGGTATGGGAGGGAGCAAAACAGAGCAAGGGGCTGATCTGTGAAATGGCTTAGGTCGGGCTCCGTCTGCCTGGATGTCATCAACCAGACTTGGTCGCCCATGTTCGACATGATCAACATCTTTGAGGTCTTCTTGCCTCAACTTCTTCGATACCCGAACCCGACGGACCCCCTGAACGGCGAGGCGGCTGCCCTGATGATAAGAGAACCCAAGAGCTACGACGCTAAGGTCAAGGGTGCGTCGACGCAATAGAAGGCAAAACGGGGTCAAGATAGCTTGCTAACGAGGGCACAGAGTACGTCCAAAAGTACGCAAGCAAAGATGCTGCCGACGAAGCCGGCGCCGAGAGCGAAGACGACGACGACATGTCGTCCGTTGGCAGTTTCGGCGACGATGACGAGGAACCCGCCGGCCGCCTTGACGATGTATGAAGCGCACTCGGGAACTTTGAGGGAAACACGGCTAGAGAGAGCATTCATGGAAATGGCGTCGCAGGAGACTTATATCCCCCGGGTTGTGATTGGACTTGGCATTCTTGAACCCTCCTCAACGTGGTCCTGCTGAGGGGCACTTAGTGTTCCCTCACCAGCGAACAGCAGCGAGGCCAGGATTCTACCATCTTTGTGTTTAAGGGACTAGGAAAGGGTATTTTTATGGGAATCAGCTTTGGAGTTTTCACATGAGACAATCGCGGATAGGATGGGGGGTTGATTATGATGATGACCATTGCTCACGAGGAGAGCTGCTAAAGACCGATGGGGACGATATGGGCGTGCGCAGCATACATACCACCCCAAATTGGATTCCAATTTGTTCGATCAACTCGGACCAGTGGCTCTAGGAGCTACATTAGGTAGTCGTTAACAGTCATGCAAACAGAAATAACTGCCCTCTGTGACTCCAAGTGGCGTGTTATGGATGTGTCCTGAGTACGATGTGAGGGCGCATCTTCAAGAACATGTGCCAAACTGCACCTGAGATACGGCTGATGATGGTGTAGATGAGCTTGTTGAAGGTTCACATTCTGGTAATCCTCAATCGAGGATGCACCCTTGAGTTGATCTATGCTAAAAAAAAGAAAACCTTCTGTAGTAAAAATACAATGACGCCAATATAAATGTCCAGGGTATCTCTGCTCTAAATCATATCCGTTAAAACGCCACACAAACCAACCAAAGGCGCTCCTCGCACAATCAAAGTATAGAGGGGCCCCTTTTTCAATCCGAATCAGAATCGTACGCCACAAGCGACTTGGACGAAGGCGTGCCCTGCTCGGGCTCCGTGGTCTTCGGCAACTCCTGTTTCTGCTGCGCACCACCACCACCGCCGCCGCCGCCGCCGTCCTCATCACGCTTCCTCTTCAGCCCGGGGATCCTCGGCGCCGACGACCTCTCCGCCGCCCCCTTGGTCTCGACCAGGAACGGATCCCTCGCCATGCGCGTGTTCCCGACAATCTCGGAGACGATGGTCTCCCTCCTCTTGGAAGCGAGAACTTGGGCTTTGGGTGTTCCCTTGGGCAGCAGCGCCGCTTTGCCAGCCGTCGTCGTCGTAGACTTGCCGTCCTTGACCGAGGCAGAAGGCCCAGGCGAAGGAGACGACGACGCAAAAAGCGGCTTCGCAAAAGCCTTCAGCCCCGCCTCGTCAACCCCCTCCCCGACGCCCCCAAACTCGACCAACCTCGCCCGCCGCGCATCCTCCTCCGTCGCAGGCACGAGCTCGATCCCCAAACTCATCTTATCCTTCAGCGCCTCGCCCACCGCGGCCTCCATCTCGCGCCGGTGCCGTCCCGCGCGGAACGTCGCGCGGAGCGCCTTGTTGCGCGTGTACGGATCGTCCCAAGCTCTGTCGGCAGCGTCCTGTAACTCGTCGATGCGCTCCGTCGCCTGCGCGAGGTGTTGCCGGTCTTCAATGGTTTTCTCCAGGGAAGCGAAGGCGTTGCCGCGGAGCTTCTCGCGTTCTTCTCCGGTGAGGATGGCCATCTCCCCCTCCCGCGGCGCCCTCCCCTCCTCGCCCGTGTCGCGCTTCTTGGCGCCCGAGACGACGACGTAGGCCGTGTTCTTGGGGTCCGTGTGGATCTCGATCCAGCCGCCGCAGTCGGCGTGCTTCATGCGGAACTGCCATACCGCCGTCGAAAAGTAGGACCCGACGCGCTTCTTCTCGGCGTTGAACCGGACGCCCTGGCCGATGATGGTGGGTTTCGGGCAGGTGGAGCACCAGATGGCGAAGGGCATCTCGAAGCGGACGACGAGGATTCCTGGTTTGGAGGCGCGGGCGCCGAGGGGGTGTTTGCGGGCGAGGGCGTTGCCTGTTGTCGTGCCTTCGTGTTCGGGCGGGACGTAGCGTCCCATGTTGAAGCCTTGCATTTTGGGCGAGGTTGAGGGGGGGGGGGGGGGTTTGCGATAGAAGTTTCGAAGGAAGAGAGGTTCGTGGGAGGTTCGGCTAGTCGTGTTGGTTGTGATCGTGATCGCGAACGGCCCGCGACGGTGTTCTTTCGGCGGAGTTGGTTTTTGGGAAAGTCGCGGCGGAGAAGGGTTCCGGCGGGACGGGAAATCCCAGGCTTGTAGGAGTCGAAAGGTGGGATTTCGGAGATGGTGGGGGTTCTTGTTGCGCCGCTGCCTTGGACATTTGGCGCCGGTTGTAGCGGGGCACCGGGGGGACAGCGGGATTACGTAATGAGACCTGCTCGGGAATTCCACAGTACCTTCACAAAATGCCATCGTTGGCCTCACTTTGACTTATACGTCGAGATCTATGCTATATGTTCTCAATTACTCTACCGGTAGTTTGTGAATTCGTTTCTGTTGAGAATTATATACAAATGGAGCTACGTGCGACGGTTAGCTGTCTCAAGTAGCATCATCACGCAGTGCCAGCTGCACCTTACACTCAAAGTGGTCATCACAGTCGTGATTGGGGGGCTCACAGTCACGCAGGACCGGCAGGCTGCGAGCCGCGATACTGGCCTCTTTCTTGTTTCGAACTCTTGCCTAAGGCCGATAATTGCCGCTGTCAATGACGACGTAAGATGTTTGACTTTTCGTTGCCAGTCGTTAAGGCGAGGCTGATGGTTACCATGTCACCATCGATTGCGTGATTTCGGTTGAGTGCGTGTCTGGATACTTGAGGGTGCTGGTTCCGCCGTTTGAGGCTCATGGAACCCCATGCTTTCTCATCATCAGCTTGATGAATGCGGCTCACGGCATTTCGGTTCCATCTTTCTTCAACAGGCGTACCCAAATGTTACTAAAAAGGTGAGATTCACCACCGTTTAGCCTGACCGACTAGGCGAGACATCAAGGTACCGTAACACGGTAGCAAGCACTCAAGGCGTGTAGGCTTAAACCATCGCAAGACATCAAGGTATGTATGATTTCATCAAAAAAGCTCTGCAATCTATGCTAATATGTAAGGCAAGGTATGGATCGCTCAACCTCCAAAAAATGATGCTACGACTTTCGTCCCGCTCAAAGATAATGGATGGTATATATCCCTCCCGAGTGTTTTGCGCCGAAACCGAATGAATCGCGTTGGGTTCCCCTTCTCGCATCATCGATCCCGAGCAAAAAGTAAAACAAAAATTCCGAAATATCATCAATATGAGGTCGTGGACGGCGGCCATCACTCTCTTTCCAACTTTCTGACATAGCCTTCGCGAGGCCCGCCGCCCATCAACCAGTGGTATCCTGCAGATCATGATGCAATCCCAAAATCCTCCAAAAAAAAGCTCCGTTCTCGTGGATGGCATCTCCCGCTTGAGCGAGTCTTCGTCTCTTCATGTTGTCATTATTCTCCCCTTTACAGCTTTAGCGATGGTCCATTTATCGCCGCTGCAGTCTACACTCTTCATTCGGCCAAGCCTGCCATACCCGACGTCGGGGCGAATGTCTCGTACATCTCGTCATCGCTGCTGTCCACACTGAGGGGGCTCTGAGCATTGCTCACATCGGCGCTTGGCAGTCCGCTAAATCCTCCTAGACTCATCGTTGCTGGCGCGCTCTGTCCAAGAGAAAGCAAGCCATTGTTAGCAAAGCTGCTACTAATGCTTCCAAGTCCGATATCCACCACACTTCCGCTGCGGCTCATTGAAGGCTTCTCAGGAAGTTTCTTGAGCAGGCCTGTCGAAATATCGAGCATCGTCATGGCAAACATGGTGAGACCTTTGCCTTCGCCAGGCTTCGAGCTCACGGATAACGTCCAGCGGTATTCGCCCAAGCGCCTACGGTACCAATCGGCTTCCTCTCGTCCTGGGGATGTCGCCCACAGAAGCGAACCAAATGTGCCGATGAGGGCAAAGTTGGTCTTGGACGCAAAGTACCAGAAGGAGCGAAGGTGCGAGGTGTTCAAACGGTTGACAAAATCCATTGCGGAAATAAGACGAGCCTTGGCCGCGCTTCGGCAAATGTGCTGAACATAGGAATCGACAGCCGACCCGGTGGCTTCGAGCGAACGAATGATACGGCGATGCAGTGTGATTTCGGCGGCGAAGTAAGCAAGATGAAGATATCCGATGCTTGACAAACGACCTGGCGGGGCAGAGATTGACGAATACGTGCTGTCCATGCGAATGGCCGCTGGCAAACTGGCATACCATTCCTTGAGCTTCAGTTGTATGGGCTTCGCCATGCCCAAAACCAGATGCGTGCCTTGTCCACCGGCGTTGGTGACGTTTTGCATGGCCTGCAATGAGTAGAAGGTATCGAGAATCTCGGCAAGAATCTGCGACAATTGTACCATTTGACCAAACAATGTACGACCGCGTTCGATATCCAATTTCTCCTCCACGTCCTTCTCGTCCCACTCGACATCGGGAAAGTCATGATCCGTAAGTGGTTGGACACCCCAGTTGGTGGAGAAAATGTGCGAAGGCCGTCCATGAACGAGCGAACCCCATTTGTCCTGCATATACAAAGCCCAGGCGAGGCGTTTCCGCAATCCCTTCTCCCAAGGTGGGATTTTCCAGTGCGTACAGTCGAGGTGAAGGCCAAGTTCCTGGGCGGTGGCGACGAGCTGAGCAGTCGGAGCCCACTGGTCGCCTTCGGGTCGCTGGGAGAGAAGGAGACCGGCCTGGATGGTGGACAATTTCGGGCGATAAATTGCGTCGGCAAGAGTTGTCCGGATCATCCGCTCGAGGTTGGGAATGTTGGGTCGAGGGACTTGCGCGAGCTCTTCATCGTGCTCCCACCAGTTGATGGCAAACAGGTAAACAGCAGCTAGTAGACAAGGCGAAAATTCGCGGTAACTGCGCTCGTACTTTTCAAGGAAGACGGTCTTCTGAATAATCGGGAAGGCGGGGTGAACGATGCGGAAGTACAAGTCTACTAGTTTGCGACCATGTGGCCGCACGAGACCCTCAATTTCCTCGATATCCTCGAGGATATGCTCGTGGCCGGGGGTGTTGGAATCTGGTAGTAGCAGGAACGTGTCATCGTCACTGACCTTGCGCAGAGTGCCGCGCGCCAGTAGACTCTCATCTTGAGGGTTAAATGGTGACAGGTTGATGAGAGAAGGCTCGAAGTCGGTCGTCGGGCCTATGTACTGGCTGTAGCGATCATTTTGGAGACCCAGCGTCCGCTTGAGCAGAGTCGGGCCTCCGACATTCGCCATGTCTTCAAGAAAAGAGCTGCTTCCCGTGGTGCTGGAGAGGCTTGGTTGATGTTGCCTTCGCCTTCTGATATCGGCTCTAGCTGGTGAACTAATGGACCAATCACGTGTCAGAGATTAAGGTTCGTTATCAGACGTGCCCCCCTGACCGCGGCGTGCCCCCATGGCTGCCCAAGAAACATCAAACGGGCGCAAAATGCAAGCTCAAGCGGAAGCGAGCCAGGCTGGCGGGGAGGGAGCAGTAGGGGGACGGACTCGCCAATGTGGTTAAGGAGGGAGGAGGGGGAAATAGGCGGGGAGTAGTAGCAATGTGAGAGTGAGTATTGGTAGGAGAGGGGAGTGAGAATGAAAGCATGAGAAGAGGGGGAAATTGAGCAGACTGACCTTCTTTTACCACTGTCGTCAAAGTCACCGTTCAGCTTGCGTTTCCTTGGCTGGGGGCTGTTGAGCAAGGAACAATCGGATCCGCTAGCCTGGCAAGGTATGCAGCTATCTTCGTCTTCGCTCACGATACACTTGACCCTAGATCGTTGGCAGGATTCGCATGGGCTGAGTGAACGTGTGGTATATGAGCCAACAGACTCTGCGATTTCCCGTCCAGGCATGCTGCCGCCGCGGAAAAGTTCGAGGTTCGTGAATGCCTCTTGCAGATAAGAGTTCTGGCGGCGGGGAGGTTTTGGTGCAATGGCGATGGGAGCCGTCCTGGTGACGGCACTTGGGTTGGACATGATGGATAGGTAATGCGCGGCAGTAGAGACAATGCTATGTATATACAGGCAGGGCTGGGCCGACGCAGGGGAAGCAGACGGGCGGACGGACCCGGTTCGTCAAGTCGGGGTCCCGGGGCCCTTGTCTGGAGATTGGGGGAATGAAGCGGGCGTGAATTTACTCCCTAGGGTTAACCGGAGATATGACAACGGTGATAGGACGATAGGCTTCGTCAAAGGCCAAGGAAGCAGACGGGAGAGGCTGGCACACACTCCCCGGGATGGAAGCTGGTTCAAAGGAGCCCCACGGCGTGCAGCAGATGGGATGGGATGCGAAGCAAGTGATGCAATGTCGCTCGTTGGCTTGATCCTGGTGCTGGTCCTAGGTCTGGGCCGCCACTCGAGATCGACGGCAGAGGAATAAGAATATCTGTGGTCGAGTTGACGTGAGATTTGAGAATTGTGTGCGTAGTACCAATGCAGGATCCGCCAAATGAGATTGGCTGGCGAGCGGTAATTCGATCTTGATGAATTCCTATGGGTGAGCCTGTGTTGTAACACGAAACAGCAGACGGGCCACCACAGGGACTGGACTGATAACGCTACGGTGCGCCGAGGCCGGTTGAGATAAGACGGGCTTGTTGGAACCCTGGGAGGCGGCAGCGGGCAAAGATGATCAGGTACACCAGCAGACGGACAACGGCCGGTAGCGATTGCGAAGTTTGGCGTGAGATGAACGGGGCCCAGAATGCTTCAAGGCTAGACGAGGTGGAACAAAGACACGAGAAGATTGTGTTTCCAAGAGCTACCTAGCAAGAGGCTGATAGGTATCCGTCCGAGTAGTGAGGCGCGTTGTGTCGCGTGCGTGCGAGGGGTACAAGATAAGGCGACAACGGGAATTGGGAACGGGATACTCTGTAAAAGGTAGGCGTTCCAAGTTCCAGAGACTCGAGAAGAGGTACTTCTCTAGGTATGTGTTGAGTTTGAGTGGTTCCTCGTCAAGATCTGGGGTGGGATGTAGAAAGTCCGAGGGGGCGCGGTGCGGTCGTGGCTTCAAGTTTCTTTGGGGAAAGGCAAAGATAAGGTAGCGTGCGCCGCAGGACAGGAGTGGCCAAGGCGGAACGATTTGCGCCCGTTTTTGGTGATGGAAATGTAATGGTGGTTGTACTTTTTTGGGGGGTGCGGTGCGGATGCAGGGCCGGAATTGGGGCCCGGGACTGGGAAGTAATCCAAACTTGGGATTGGATGGGTTGGATGAATGGGGTTTTGATGGATCGATATCGGTGGACTCTCAAGTGACGATGGCGGCAAGGATGAGATAAGCCTTGCTTATCGGTGTCATTGGGTCCCAGAGGCGGAGGAGAAAAGTATATGTAAGAGAGCAATGTCCAATGTCTCTAATGGCGCTTCAAGTATCCATTAATGGATGTGTCGGTGCACCAGGACGTCCTTGATCTTGGATCTTCGTTCTTATCCCTGGGTTCCTTGGAGAGCGTCCAGTTTGGGGGTTGGCCGTTTTTGTTGGAGACGGAGAAATAATTAAATTTTATGGGGATTGGGTGGCGAGAACGATGGATGGATGGGGTGAGCAGATGAGGAGGAGGATAGAAGAGGAGAGGGAGGGAGGGAGAGAGTAGGAGGAGGGAAAAGAAGAGAGAGGGAAAAGAGAGAGTAAGAGAGAAGGAGAAGGAAAAGAAAAAGCCAAGGTGGTTAAGGTAAAGAGCACACCTACTCCAGTCCAGTACTCCGTAAGGTAAAGAAAGGTCAGGTATGGATGGACGGATGGATGCGCAAGGGGAAAGAGAGAAAAACAACAGTAAGAGAAGGAGGAACCTGACAAGATGGGATTTGCAAGCTCCTTCTCCTTCTCTCTTTCTCCTCCCACCTTTACGAATACTCACTCTATTACCGGCCCAACCACGTAAAAAATGAATAACAGAATGTAGGTGAGAGAGATATGGTACCCAAACACTGACACGCCCAGGGGACTTCAAATGCCGGGTGAAGGTTTTTTTTTTTCTTTTTTTTTCTTCTTGCTGTTCTTTTTTTACACTGCCGCTGCCCCTCGTACAGTGGTTCACTTTTTTCGATCAATCTTTGATCGACAGTGTTGCGGTTCCTCTAAACCCGCAAGGACAGACAGAGAGAGACATACTAAAACAGAACGCCGCTTGACACAGGATCTGCCGTGAGAGAGGAGCACAGTCAGGATTGGATGGGGCTCCAACCAGGAAGGGTCAAAGTTCCTGACCGCCGGCGGCCTACTGCAAAGATGTCAGGCAGGCCCGGCCAAAGTCTCTTACTCTACCCCTTCACTATGAATGGCACGTCTCGCGTCGGTGGAGGAAGAAGCAGGAGGGTGTATTGGAAGAGGAGGCGCGGCAGTATCTGAGTGGCCGGCGGGCGTTGGTCTCAATGGTCCGACTAAAGGACCAAGCGGCGGAAAAAGACATCGAGAAAGAATGGTCCAAACCTTGGTTTGATGGAGTATGGGGATCAAGATGGAGACAAGAGCATGGGCAAGGACATGTCGACTGAGATGGGACGGGACGGGATGGCATGGGATGGAATGGGACGGACACCCTCCTGGCGTCCCTTTTGCCTCTACTCTTACCGCACCGCAGTGCAGTCTTCTTCTGCAGCCTGGTGCCTGCCTTGCCCTCACCGACACGAAAGATGTGCAAAGCGGCAGCTGCAAATGCAATACCTGAGGAGACAGGCATAGGCATGGCTTGGCATCAAGAAAAAAAGTCTCAATGAGACGAGCAGGAGAGAGAGCGAGAGACTTTGTCCGTGTCAGTGAAAAAATGACATGGGGAACTCCCGGCTAACGAACCAAAGTCAAGAAACAGGGCAAAAGGGAAAAAAACATAAAGAGAACAGGGTAGGTAGGCCCGGGGCTGTGCTTTTCTAACATCCACGCCCAAGATACGCGGGGGGTGTAAGTGTCGGATCGGTTGTTGAACAGAGCCAAGCCAGAGACCACCCAATTACGGAGGAATGAATTACCTTGCGGCTCGCCAGGAATCGAACGACGAGGCGCGCGTCGATGCGGCGGCCGATAGTAAGGTAGACAAGAAGGCGCAAAAGGTAAGAAAGTGTGGTAAGAGAAATAGACGTCGGGTGAACAATAAGAAAGTGACCAAGTGATCTATCGCTCAAAGACGAGAACAGGGTACGGTGAAGCACTTGGAGACGTCAAGGCATGTTAGCCGAGCAGGTCTAGCCTCTACGCAGTAGGTCTAGGTGACATATTGAACGTTTGATAGCGATTACGTCGTACCAGGAGCATCAGCACTCCGTAGAGGCCACCGGGGATTTGAATGGTAGCAGGGAAGTGTGCTTGAAGGCGCGAGGCTAAAAAGGCCGCCAGGGCCGTTTTCGTTGCATTCCGCGTGAAAAGAAGAAAGGTGGACAATGGAGAATAGGTATGGAGGACTCTCCGACTCACAAACTTTGGTCATGGTGACTTTGGTGATGGTCACAGCCTGGTGGCCGGATGGGAACTTTGAAGGGTAAATCTCCACAAAAGCACATGGCAAAGCGTGCGACTTGTCGACCCTTCGGCCCTGTCTGGCACGATGACTGGGTCGTCGATGCTGGGAATGGCATGGGGGAAGGGAAGTGATGGTGTCGATGGAGGGACGGAAAGATAAAGCACGAGACATTTGGGAGGGGAGATGGGCGCCGCCTTATCTCTGTCCATTCCGGGGCAGGCGTTCTAGAAAGATGCTACGAGACAGAAATACATAATGGCAAATGGGCAAATCACGGCTCATATATTTCATCTTGTCTTTTGGGGCCCTTGGGGTTTCCTCAAGCTTCAGCTCCGTAGTGTAACTCCGTCACTCCGTCACTCCGTACCCGTGCCTACATTGCAAGGTTGGAGGGTACATGCCTCCCAAGACTCCGTAAGGTACCTAAGGTATGGAAGGTAAGGAACTCCAAGGACTCCAAGGTGGTGGTTGCTGCACGATCCGAGTCGGCGGTACTCGGGCGGAACATGGGGCCCCACCATTGACTACTGCCATTCTGCAGCTCACTCGCCGCTTCTTGCCTCGACCGGCGCTTGTAGCGCAGACGTACATTCCTTCCTGCGTAGACCTGGAGACTGGAGTGAAGTGCCCTAGGCGTGGTGCCCCACCCCTTTAGCGAAGTGGCTCCCATTACCTTATAGAAAGTCCGGTACCGCCCGTTTCGGGTCTAGCGCGGCAATACCCATAACGTAATTCTCGAATATTGCCGAGTCAGAACTCGACGACCAAGGTCTCTTTGGCCCATCGTCCCAACTTCAACCTCCTCTTCAACCGGCATCTCGCGCGCGCGCAAGCAACGCCCATTTACCACCTAGCTATGCGGCACCGCAGTACTTCCTACACCTGCACGGCGCTGACCGCAGCCAAATGTCGAGTCGCAAGCAGCCCGGCTGCACGCAACTGCACAACCAGCAACACCTCAGGAGACCCGCTGCTCTATCTGGAAGAGGGATAAACCTGCGACGCAACGTCTACCAGGGGACCACCATCAACAGCATCATCCCTCATCCTAGAATCCGGAAGCTGCTAAGATATGCAGCCCATCATCAAGTTTGAGCGGGCAAAGAAGCGGATTCACCTCCTCCCGCTTTGCTCTCCCACTCACCACCAGCTCATTATTAGCCTGCCGTTGTTCGGAACCATCAAGTCAAGCCACCACGCCAGCCATCAAGCGGACCAGCCCATGCCATGACACGGATCCAAATTATTACCTACAACTCAACCCACGGCCAAGGGATCGATCGTCCAACGATGACACAAATCACGGGCTGTCGTGTGCCGCCCCGAATCACCGCCGTTCCGCCGTTGCGCTTCAGGGTCCTTTCAACCCATCCCGCCCCTGTCATATCACGCTTTCCCCGTTGGGACTCTTTGTCACTGTCTCCATCGATTCCAATCTCCATGCCGCCGGTCTAGACGACGTCTCCTCCCTCCGGCATGCTAGGTAGGAGGAGTCGATGCGAAAGACCATCCGCGCCTGTTCCGGTCACGCCCGATGAGCAAGGGACCTTGCCAGTCCCTGAACCTGAAGTGCGCCTTCTACTGCTATGTCACGGCCCCAATTTCCAAACCGGCATCGAAGAACTTGGATACTCTAACCAAAGACCTCACAACTCACCACTCTTCAAATAAGCCAAAGTCCAGATCTGGTGGACCGTGGACCAGCCTCAGTTCCTGGTAACGCGGGGTTGCGGGGCAATTGGCCTCCTGCGAATCATCGTCCCTGTTTCGCTGCTCATCATACCAACCATGCCAATCTCAAATGGACGTCGATTTATCCCACCCTCGGCACGAAAGAAACCGCCATTTGAGGAATCAGGGCCAGAGAAAAACCCACACACCACCACGACCGAATATCATCTTGGCCCAACCCACAGCATGTGTTCTACGGTCATCTTACCACCGCCAGCAGTCGGCCAAACTGACACCTCCAAACAACTCGCTACTTGAGAGGACACCTTTAACCGCCATCCCCTGCCCGTCAAACGTCGAAATGCCACGTCGGCTCACCTGCCGAAAAAGGCCCCCAAAGGCTCTCGTGCTCTACCATCTTCTGACGTTCTTCGACAAATGACCTTGAAACTCAACAACTTAATTGACTCTTCTTCCCGCCTTCTCCTGCGGGAGACCCCCACGAATCCCTGCATGTCACGCCTTCCGGCCGCCTCGCCTCAACAATCAGCAAGCCATAAACCTTCCCGAGAGACACATCCCTCGTGGGTGGGGGGGGGGGGGTAACTTCATGTGTTGTGCGACATCGTGAACGCACACAGGTACCACTCACACAGCTCTTACCTAACAGGGGTTCATATAATCGCCCAGCTACTACTTACGTCATTGAGTTCCTAATCCCGCTAGTTTCACGATGCCAGCCCGGCGGCTCTATCGCTAGCGTTCCCGGTGGCCGTCGGCTCCGACCAGGTATAAATTGAATCGACAACTGCCTATTCGACCCAAGTGGCGAATCTTGCCCGGTGAAGATATACCCGAAGTCTGTATTTCGGTCCGAGGCCATGATGGAACAGTGACACACCTCCACGTCCGCAACGGCTCGATTGCATGTGAAACGGCGTTAATGATATATCTGTACCTTATTCTCGTGGTTTCTCCGCGATCCTCACGACCTGCTGCATTTATAGACTCCACATTCTTCACGTGCTATGAGCCGAAAAGTCCTATTACCCCGCGGAGACGAAAACGCAAAGTTGCGGTAGTTCTGTCACTAGAAGTCTACAGGTTTCCATACAAAGTCTTTTCGAAACAAAAATGCTGCATCGACCGATTGAAAGAGGATGTCACGCCTGGGTGTTTGCAAGCGCCAGACGAGGCAACGGCGGCAAACTGAACGAGTTTCACCGCTCTCCCAAAAAGCACCAAAGCCGAATCAAACCGGTCAACCGCAACATTCGAGACAGCATGCGTCTAGTTCAACTTGGGAATTCGATTGGTCATTGATTCCTGTGATGCGACGAAGGCAGACTGGGCATAGTTGACCGACTCTGCTCTGCCTCGAATGGTCTAGAGCTGTATCGCCGGGCCACTGCAGAGGAGAGTGTGGCTCTGGGTGTTGATTGACGGTTTCCCGCCCTCCGCCCTCCACTTTCCGACATCATACTGTGATGGCATACTTGCTGATCATTATAGGTCAGAAGGTCGCGGCCCGACGATCTCGAACCGATGGGAATAGTCTTGGGTACGGATGTTGGACCGTCTTTCCTACAACTCATTATGTCGGTTCGACATTTTACGTTTCTCATGGATTTATCCGTTCTTTGCACCGAATGCACTCGCCAGATCATCGCGGTTTAGACACACAAGGCCAGTCGTACTTACTGGTCTTGCACGAGTCTTGCGTATTCTCAAGTATTATGAGGGTCTCCTCGTAGATCTTCGCTCCTTCCGCCGACGGAGCTCCGCCTGGGAGACTCATGTGAAACCCTCCCATCGTTACAAACCCCAACTTTCCATAGAACGGCACAGCGTTCGTCGTGCTTTCAAGGAATACCGGGAGCCCCTCAGCTCTGGCGGCCTCCGTAGCGGCATGTATCAGAGCTTTCCCCGCGCCGCGGCCTCGGAAGCGGTAGTCAGCGCACAAGAACGTCAAATAAAGAGCCGGGCATCTCCGCCGGGCCCGGGTCCGCCGCCGTCGGTGGTGTCCGGTGCCGGCAGAGAGAGAACGCCCGTGAGATGTCAGCAACTAGAAGATTTGGGGCTTTGAACGTTCAACGCCAACGTCGTTGGCAAAGTGGACACGGGTAACAGGTGTAACGTGGGAACCGCGATGGGAATCAAAGGGAAAACTGTGGTTCCCGCTGCGGCGCTGTCCCCGCCGTTCCGTAGAGAGATGTCACCGAAATGACATTCTGGAATTCGACAAAAGGCGATGCCGAGGGAGGAGGAAACCCGCCGAGAACTGTCTGGGATCAGCGTTTCTTGGGGGGGGAGCACCCCCGGGGAGGAGAGAGACTCCGAGTCTTTGAGGGTCCTCGCTGTCTGATGCGTTTCCCCACCGGGCCAAACCCCCCACCGGGCAAACACCGACCTCGGAGCCGACTCAGACAGCGCCAGCCAGGAAGTGTGAGGTTTGCGGATAAGGGAAATACGGCACCGGCGCAGCTGACATAGTCGGCGGAAAGCCGGGGACAGGCAACTGGGATGGGGGAAACTGCCGATACAGGTAGGTGGATGAGGAATTGACCACACCCCCCTCGCGCGACATTTCCCGAAAATTTCACGTAATGGGAAATACCGGGATGGTGGAGTGGTTGAAGAAGATGTTGGGCTAAGAACAGCGGTTGAATCATGAATGGAGCGGCAGAAGGGAATGGGGGGGGGGGGGGACAAAAAATAACAACAACCAAATTGTCAGAGAAAAAGAAAGGACCGAAAGGCAAGAGTGGACGAGTAATAATAAACAAGATATTTGAAAGGTGTAGGGCACTCACTGAGAAAAGGCCGGGAGCCCATGGCTTCCCGACGTGCTTTTAATGCGGCGGTCGCGTAGGCGGTGAGGTATTCTCGGTTCGCTGGAGCGGGCCACTCTTCGTCTTCGCTTTCGTCGTCGTCGCTGTTCTTGTGGTTGGAGTCCTCCGCTGTTGCCCTTACTATGGTTCCTTCTCCGACCTCCGCTTTCGATTGTTGATGGTGTTGTTGGTTCCGAGGAGGTTGTTCTTTACTCCCGTCATCCACCACGCCCGCCTCCGCCGTTGTTGGCAGTATATTGCCCGGCTCTAAGCGTCGTGAGCCGCTGGCGGATGCGGTGGGGGTTTCAATGACATGGCTTCGACTTCCACCTCGACCTCGACGTCGGACGATGTCCCATTTCACGAAGGCGATGACACGTTCACCGTTCCCGGTGCCGGTAGCGTCCTCGGCGTCGGCGTCGGCGTCGGCATCCGCCTCATCCACTACGTCGGGGTCGGAGCTGACGCGCGCCACGAGGATCCGCGGCGTGTCGTGGTCACGGAGGTGATGCAGGGCGTCTTTCACGAGGTGGTCGTGAAGGTCGGCGAGGGAGGCGGACGTGGGGAATTGCAGCGGGGGTAAGGTGTTGGAGGACATTGATGAGATGTGGATGGAGGCGACTTGAGGGGTTTCGGAGGGTGTTGGGGGGGCAGATCGTGAGGGTTGTCATCGTTGATGAGTTGGAGTTTGTGGGTTTATGAGTCTTGGCTGGTGCGGTGTAAGTTGTGTGAGGCGTTTGTGAGTTGGTGTGAGTCGAGTATAAGCTGAGAGTGAGGTGGGTGAAAGTTGAGCAGTATGGTAGGTGTGTGAGATTTGGGAGTGAGTGGTGATCATGGTTGGTTTGCGGTCATGTGATTTGTTTGTGCCTGTGTGCTATGGAGGTTGCTACGAGTGCTACACGCAAGGTCGGGTTCCTTGAGATATATAGGTTCATTATGCTTGTAGATGTATTGCAAGGACGAGTTAGGACTGTATGAAGAATCAGGCGAGGCTGAACCTGTGAAAGGCTTGGAATGAGGGTATGCTATCGACTTGTGTTGTCTGGCTTGTAGTTGTCTGGCTTAATGGCTCTCCTGTCTTGAGTGCTTGCCTTTCCACCTCATCTTGCTCTCTGATATGCTGTGCCTTTTGCCCCTCAAATGCCCTCTTCAAAGTATGTGAGTTTATGCTAGGGGAAATGAGTGTTAAGAAGTATGAGGACTCACTTGATGTGTTTTCATTACTTGAAGTTTACTATATGCTCCCTCGCCCTGAGCCTCGTTGGCTGATATCGACAGTGGCGATGAACGGAGACAGTATCTTGCGAGTGTTGCTTATTGTGCTCAACATCAGGCCAAGCGAAAATTTCCAGAATCGAAAAGAAGTCCTGAATAAGTTTGTATGAAGTCCTGGCATTATGTCCAGAGATACTCGTAAGAGGTGGGCTTTTCTACGTATTCAGGTGCCTGGGATGAAGTGAACCATACATAACGTTCCGGCAAGATTTGGATCAGGTTCATGAGAAAAAGGGGGGCAGAATCTTTTGAAGACACGTGAACGGCTGCCTCGAGTCAGCTAGGTACGGCGTGGCATTCGATGCAAACGGTGGCCGAAGCAACGTTCGACGCCATAGGGGCATACATACAAAGACGTAATGGTCCTTTACTCGAATGAAGACCAGCGTCACCTGCTTGCGACGAGAATAGCTGGCTTCCAGCAAGCTTTTGTGAGCTGTGTATGGGAGGCTTGCCACTGTTGTCAATCCGGAAATCCTAAAGCGCCTCTTGGATGTTAAATGATCTTAGTTGTCAACACTCCAGCTACCTGAGCAAGTCGTTTGACAATCGACCCACTGATGAAATATCCTTTCGCGGGAAACCATGTGTAGATTCGAAGCTGCCATATTTTCCTCAGTTCCCAAGCGTCGTCCATCTCTGGACGTGAAGATTAAAACTGATCATTGGATTTACTCCTAAGCCGGCTGGCATCCATATGAACCCACCAAAACTAGCTTCGTAGTCCGGCGGCCTCAAGACCATCGTGAACCCGGCGCTATGTCTCCAAGGAACCCTATCATGTCCTTCAGCATATCCTTGGAATAGCAATGGTCTAGCCCATCGTAGGTCTTGAAGTCGACCTCACAGCCCATCGCTCGCAAAACCCTCGCCGCCTCCTGACCGTAGCGTACTGGGACATTATCATCCACGGTCCCATGCCCGAGAAACACAGGTGTCTCCAGGAATGATGGACGCGTCGCTAGCTCCGCTACCGTGATGCCAATCTCGTCCCCCAGAATACGCAATGCTCGTTCCACCGGATCGTGTTCAGACCGATGACCCTCCCAGCTAGTCGTCGAATCGCCATCAGAGTGCTCAAAGGGACCGTCATCAGAGCCTTCCGGCGCCTCATCGTACCGTCCACCCAGTCGATAATCTCCTTCCGCCATGGCCTCGGCCATCACGTCAGCCATGGGCAACATCCCACACATACCCAGTATACCGCCGAGTGGCGTCCCCCGCCACAACAACAGGCAAACAAGCGCCGCAGCACAGCCTTGACTGAAGCCGCCGAGCACTAACTTATCCGTCCCGCCCAGCCGAATGGCTTCATCTTCCAATAGAGAATGTATGAATAGAACTGTTTCCTTTGCGTGGCCCAGTAGTGTATCCTCCCAGTCGCCGCTCCCGTCGTACCATTGGTTGATAATGGCCCGTCTGTAAATGGTTGCCCGCGACCGCGGCGCAGTCGGGAAAACGAAGCGCGTATGCGGTAGAAGATCTCGAAAAGTACAAGCATTCAAGCCCGGTGATGTGGCTGAATTATTAAGTGGGACAGACAGAAGCTCCGGCGCAAATATTTTCGCACTGGAACCTCGGCCGTGTAGGAGGATGATGGTCTGCTGGTGCGGCTGCTTCAGCGGCGGTATGATCATGGGCGGAGGGAAGGTATGTAATGGCAATCGCGGCTCAGATCTGATTCCCAGAGTTTTCTCTGAGTCTACGGCCTCGGCCATTGGTTATGTGTTGACAGGTCAAGTTGTCTTGGGGCTGGGAGGTGAGGGAGGGGGGAAGAACGGGCGGGTTGAGATGACGTTCGGCGATGAGGCCGGAAGGTATCCACCATGGCCGGAGTGCTTCCCGCGGCCGGCCGACGGGTGCGGCTTTGAGACGACGGAATCTGCCCAGTGATTGTATTCGATGGTATAGCAACCGCGCATTATCATTGCAAATGTTATTTTGTCCTTTCATCTGATGTAGACACACTTTTATTCTCGACGAAGCAGATGTGAAGGTTACGCCGGGACACTGGTTCCAAACGCATCGCCAACGTTTACAAAAACCAATCTTTAGGTCCGGGCATAGCGACAGATATACCATAGCCTGGTGATGGGATTTGAGGCACATACTAGTCTCTATCGTATCTCTATGCAATTCCGTCTCGGTATACTCCCAACCGTATTGATATTGGCCTTTTGAAGGTATCAAGAAGAGCAACAACTAAGGCATGGAGGTATGCCTGACATGAGTACGGCTCGTGGTCGAAAGCCACGCTATTGGGGCAACCTCATCGAAGTCGTCATCCTTATTCCACCAAACAGGAACATATCTAGGTCGAGAAACAGTATCCCAGAGAAATGCTATCTCGATGGAGCCGCTGCGTTGCTAGACAAACGCCGAGCACCCTCATGAACTTGCAACTTATCGTGAGGCACCTTCGTTCTCGAAATTCTCAAGCAAGTAAGTTCTATCGAAGTTCATAGCTCCTCCTCAATGGGATTCGAGACCATCCCTCAGTTGCCGAGGGAGAGAGGGCACTCCACGGCACGTTTACCGACAATTCAGCTGGACGCAATAGCCTTGGGAGTGTCTTACATGGGCAAGCTGGCGCAACGGGCCTCATGATTGCGAAAAGCACAGCGCTGATACTATTGGAAACGGTGTTGTCTGAGGCAGAACTGATCTGTATACTTATCAAAATGTAGGACATGGGTTCGGGCCCAGATGGGATCTCGCCGGCGTAACCCATAACCTCAACAATGAAAATTGAGAACCTCCATATCACGGCAATATTATCCGAAAAAATAGGGCGTAGCCTGAGATGAGATCCCATCTTTCTGTGGTCACCAAAGAGACTTTGATCTCGATCACCTGCCATTCTGAGCGACCCTCCGTGTCATGATTCAATGATTCAAAGGCGAACCAGACTGCACTGTGGTTTCCGCATACTAAGTTCGATGCTTAGTGGATTCCGGACCCCAACGCTTAGAAGTATACATCAACCCAATTATATCTATCTTGTGTGCTAGCAACTGTGCCGTCGTCCATGAATGGCCTCGAATCCTGGATGCTCCGTGTATAGGTGAGACGTATAGGCAGCCGCCGCTCAGCCAATAAAGGAGTGTCATAAATGAACCGAGTGTCAGCCAGTGAGACAAAGCATACAGATATTGCTCCATGCACCGTCAGATCTATATCACGATAGCTAGCAACAGTCAGAACCTATAATGACAGGCACATCTTTAGCTCTTCCTCCTAGAAGCGGCACGGGAATCCTGTACGGTTTTGAGGGGTCAGAGTAAGCAAAGGAACAGTCATTCAATCCTCGCATAAAGATGACTGCATTGTTCTAAATCTACGTTCTGACTGACGATTCTTCTTGGTTGTTCGTTCGTGGGATTGCAATGAAGGATCGTAAGCCCAAGTAAGCACCTACAACTTTGGCTGGTATGCGTTATCTGCAGGAAAGCAACATCTGGCCAGACAACTGTGTGCAAGACCATTGGCTACCCATCCAAATTGAACGGCACACGACCCATGGTCCAGGGGTTCAAGAGGGGAACAGTCGGAGACGCCGTGACTTCAAAAGAAGTCGGGTCCGATGGAAACCTTGACCGCCGTTCTTTCTCCAGTCAAACCCTGGTTGGAGCGCGTAACGAGAATCAAAGTTCAAGAGTCATAAGGCTGAGCGAAAGGCCCAAGAATGCAGCTAGACGTCAGTGGACTTTTCAGTATGCGAACCTGGGGGGCAATTGACAGCGTCGTTCCCGCAGATAGACAACTTTTACGAGGTTTCGCTCGAGATTAGCGAAGGGGTGGCAGAAGCTCCATACCAGCATGGCACGCTTGATGAAGCACTTTTCCCTCTTCGGAGACGGGCGGGCAGCGGCGACAACTGTTACTGGGGGCGTGACCGTGGACGGGATGGGGCGGCGGGCTCTGGTTCTTCGTGGAGTTAAATTTAGAGATGCTACTGGCGCTAGTGGCGCGCTTTTAACTCGTTTCTTCAGGGGGCCGCCTGGGTGTTTCTTTGGGAATGTTGGCCCGTTGTGCCAGCCTGCCAGCCTTTGTTCCGGGATAATGGGTGCGATGGTTTAGGTCTGGAGGGGAGTTTATTTTGGTTACTTTTCGATGTCGGTAGTTGTAGAAGTTGGTTCTCGAGGCTTGTAGAGTTGGATCTTGCAGGATCGGCTTGAATATGTCATCGGATAAGGTACATGCGTGGCGAGGGGCTACTGGTCGTACAGAAGCGAGTTTGCAGTCGGAACCCGATCACTAACCTTCAACCCATCTGTCTACGTCTGCTGTGATACCCATCAATATATCTGACAGCATGGTCTGCAAGCCTTTGCTGCAAGCCCTGCGCCGCCTCCATGCACAATATGGAGAGGTATCAAACTGCACATAGCTCACCATGTCGATAAGCGCACTTTCAAAGGCAAGCCCTAGATAGCCTCCACGGAGACCAGCATCACGAAAGTCTGGTAAGATAGTGGCCCAGTCGATACGATGGAGAACGTAAAACAACGTGGGCCCAGTGACGTTCAGGACTCGAGATCAGCCTTCCTCGCTGCTCTCTGAGCAAGGGGAAGCCCGAGCTCCTTTCGATCACATTAGCAGGCTGAAAAGGATTTACATCAATGATCGCATGTTGTTGTTATGTGGGTTCGGAGCAACAGAGTGGCCTACCGAAAGGGCTGAGATGCGGTTCAATGCCAGGTTGACGAGCAGAGACCACAGCCTATTGTCGATGTTGGCTCGCACAGCCACCGCCTGACAGCCTGGGAGGGCGGTTTGAGGCAACCCGGCCAACCGGATACGAGTGCCCACTGCCCTCGAAAGTAGGCCGCTGCACAGCGCGTAGAACGTGGAAGAGTCCAGGATACTCCTAGCCGCCGTTCCGTCGTCGGCTGCATACTGCCAGAACAAGTCGATCAGAGAACTCGAGGCTATGGAACGTTGCGGCGGCTGTGGCACGGAGCGGCCGTATCTTGCTTCTGTTTCTCTGCGGCAGCGCGCTTGCCTCGACTCATTGTCGCTTCCCTTCGGCCCAGTACCGAGGTGAACGTTGAACAGTAAAGCCTTTTGCGTGACCAGGGTCGCTCGCCCTCTTCACCCTTCTTTCGTGTTGTGAAATGGCGCGTGATGAGTGGTAGCCCCGTGTTGGCCTTGGCCCCTGGCCGTACAGCGGAGAATTATGAAGATCTCTGGAGTATTTTCGGGGCATCGGCACGCAGTCTGAACTTCTGAAGTGGCTAAGAGAAATTTGAATTTGCCCTGACCTCCGAGTAAGAGCACTCGCGCCGATGGTGGAGAGACAAGGGGGGAGCTATTAGTCGGCAAATGACAAGACACTGAGATCTCTGAAAGATGAAATGAGACTGAGAGTATCCGTATCGAACGGTTAGGTATTAGAAATGACGGTGGGAAAAGGGGCGGGCTGCACTGTGACTGGGCAAAGAAAGTCCTGTTCCCCGGGCCGCCCTTTGTTTCGAACTGTCGGGCTGAACTTCTGAACTCAGTTCGGAGCTTCGCAAACCACAAGAAGAAGAAATCAAGGGATTCCTGGAAGGATAACTCCTGTTTCAACCTCTGGACAGCAGGTTCCGGTTCGCGATAGGTCAGAATTGGCGATGTGGCTTGGTTCTTGGAGCGCTAGGATTATGGACTCTGTGAAATAAACGGGGCGCTGCAACATTTTGCTACTGGAGTTTGGAGATCGAGTGGTCGTGGTTGGCCGACGGTGGCCGCGGGGCTCGGTATATCTCAGGAGGTGGGATGAGGACTTTGTGACTCTCGAAGATTGATCATTGGTAGCCCCGAAATGAGCACGAAGGACAATCCAAGACTCCGGAGACGCGCTGGACCAAACAGATGGTTGCGAGTCTCGAAGCCGCCGAGAAAGCACATCTACTGCTGCATTGCCGGGCGCAGCTCTGCTTACCCCTACATTATGCGCGCGCACATGGCCTCAGAGCGAGTGTAGATGCAGGAATTTAGTGTGGCATACAGAGTCCGCGGGTTCTTCGCGAGCAAGGCATGTAAGCAGGAGATACCTAGACCCATAGAGTGCCAAGTTCTGACAATACTGTGTATGCTGCGGTGCTAAGTTAAGGTGCGCTAGGTTTTGGAGGAGGGGGATCTCCCACTGGACGAGCGAGAGTTTAGCCTCGCAGCGGGAAGCTCACGGCCAGACACGGCGCCATCGTCGGGCAACGGGGCCCCGAGATTATTCTTGTCTTGCTGTGGTAATGTTGTTGACCAGGGCAAGTCGGGTTGCTGAGTCGAGTTGAGCGCGGGGGTTCGATGGAAGTTGGAGACCGCCTGCCCGTCACTGAGAGAGTCAAAATTCAGAGAGAAGTCGACACGGACCGGCTCACGGATGTGCCGCAGGGATCACCGCTGCTTCACCTGCTGAGTTGTTGCAGGCACCGGCCATCAGGTGGACGTACGATGGCGGTAGGCTGCAGTGACTGTCCATTTGTGCCCCGGTGTCTGGGTCCTGGAGCCCCCTGCAGTGAACACAGACTGCAGTGCCCCTTATTTTGTCAGGCGAAGGAAGCATAAAATTGGTTGCGCTCTCGGCTTGGTACTCGATAAGACACGTCGATCAACGAGGTGAACCTGTTCGGCTTCCCTGGAAAAGCGAGGAAGCAACCCTTCTTGGTCTTGGTTCAACAACAGCTTGTCGAACAACAGCGGCATAACTTCTTGTCTGCTAGCGGACCCGGCGCCATGTGCCCTCTTGGAATGCTGGCGCGAGGGAACAAAGACGGCGGGCGGCTGAGTGACAGCAGGAAGCTAAGGCAGGTTGGCTGACCCATCGCTAGACGTTACCTCCAAGTCATCCCGAGGAATGATTCGCCTCGTGGTAGCAGCTCTTTGGAATGCACTGGAAACGGCCCGGTCGAGTCGAAGAAGCCGGCAGCAAACACGATGTGCAACGCAACGTCACTCATGGACGTGGTAGTGGTAGGCGAGGTGCTGAGCGTTGACTCTTGAGGCGAGTATGATGGAATCTGATCTGTCTGGCGGAATTCCGCGCGCTTCATCACGAAGCGTAGCGAGGTGTTTCTTCGTGTTCCATGTCAATCAATGCTGATCATCCGACGTCCCAAGTGGCCGTTGCCAGGAAATTATGCTTGATTGACCGTGGGCCATGGTCCGCAATGATGTATCCGTATGATGGACCGTATCCGTAGTGCCGTACGAGAGATATCCCTCGATGTCTCCATACAGTATACGTACATTTTGTACGTACTTCTTAGTCAGATTTGAGATGCGGTACGTACCCAGATACATGCATGGTCCGTCGCTTCCATTGACCTGGGAGTGGCAGAGTGCCGTCCCAACTTCTCAAGTGGTGTGTGTGTTTCCTGTAGCCTGCTCATCCCTCAGGAATGGAAGGCAGCTGCTCTTCGAATCCTTGGACGCATCTCTTTCCTCTCTTTCTACACTAAGATACCGTGCTCTTCCGACTTCCGTCAACTCTATCATGACCAGACTCCCGCTGGTTGGTGATGCCTTCCACCCGGAATAGACTCTAGGAGTCAATCTCTCCCAGTCCCTCCTCCTCTGCCTTACGGAAAGGAGACCCCGGACGAAAAAAGAAAGCAGCGCCACCCCTCCCGCTGCCTTTCTTCTTTGGGCAAAGTCATTGATTCCTTCTTCTTTCATTGGGCCATCTATGCAAGTGCAAATTAACCCTTTGCTCGTGGGAGGGACTTTGGGAACAAGCAACAGCAGCTCACCGGCCTCCCCAGTACCAGTCCACCTTGACTTCTCACTTCCTGGATCTTCAGTCTTCAAACACTCGCTATTCTTCTCTCTGGTCATGTCGCCACTCACAAGTTGCAAGTCTCCATATGGTGCCTTCACCAGTTGACAGTTGTGCGTGCACACACACACACACACACACACACACACACACACACACACACACACACACACACACACACACACACACACACACACACATCAACACACTCAAAGAAGTTGTCCTTTGACAACAACAGCGAACGGTCCCATAACCCCCAGTCACTCTGACCTTTCCTCCAAGAGCTAAGAGACCAGGGGTGTCGATGGTTCAGGCTCAAGAGTCAAGGCTTGGCCGATGACCACCCCCTCACCCCCTTCCCAGGACACTAGGCAAGTGCAGGGTCCTGAATAAGGTACGAGGTCGTATTGATTCGCCCAGCTCGTGAAGCGTGGGCCATGACCCATGGAGACACATCCCACCCCCGTCCCGTCCAGCCCAGGGACCAAGTCACCAAGACAAGAGAGAACGAGCCATGGTGCGCCTTTGCCCTGGTCTGTCCATGGTCACCGGTGCTTACCTAGTGCTTGGGTACCACAGATACTTGGTCTTGGTACCTGTTGTTGGTGTGGTTGCTCATGTTCTGCCTAGTTGGCCCAGCTGGGCACTGCTGTGCCTCATCTCGTCGAGTCCAAGTAATAAAACCATCCTCCCCGTTCGTGTGTTTCTACCCTTTTACCTCGTTCCTCACCTCTTCTTATTTTGCTTCCCCACGAGCTTCTACCTCTTGCCTTTTCTTAGCTTACCTGCCAGTCCCTCGTTAATCGGCATAGCTTTTCATTATTTCCACACTCTCACTCCTCCTCAAGCCACTTCCAGCTTCCAGCTCCTTTAATACTTGCCAGCGGCCTCTGATAAATATCCCGTCACCTTCGAACCTTTTCTCATCAAACTCGCTACTCGCTTCTTCCTTCGATCGACGTATACGAATCACCGGCAAAATGTTCTCCAAGATCTTCTCCGCTGCCACCGTGGCTCTCGCCGCTTCCACCATGGTCTCTGCCCAGACCTTCACCACCTGCGATCCTACCAAGAAGGGTATGTTTTTTTTCCGTCCTCGGTTTTCGTACCGCCGTTTGGTCTTCCAGTGAAACAGCCTTGCTGACTGATCTTTAGATTGCCCTGCCGACCCTGCTCTGGGCAAGTCGGTCAGTATCGACTTCACCAAGGGCAACGATGACTCCGTCTTCCGCAAGCTTGACGGCACTGCCGTGAAGTTCGAGGATGGCGGTGCTCTGTTCGCCATCAACAAGGAGACCGATGCTCCCACCATGGCCTCCAAGAAGTACATCTTCTTCGGCAAGATTGACGTCGTCCTCAAGGCCTCTACCGGCCAGGGTGTTGTCACCTCCGTCGTTCTCCAGTCCGACGACCTCGACGAGATCGATTGGGAGTGGGTTGGCGGTGACAACGCACAGGTTCAGACCAACTACTTCGGCAAGGGTGACACCAGCACCTATGACCGTGGTGCCTACCACCCCGTCTCCAACCCCCTCAACGACTACCACACCTACACCATTGACTGGACCCAGGAGTCCGTCAAGTGGCTCATCGACGGTGCTCTGGTTCGTGAGCTGAAGTACGCCGACGCCAAGGGTGGCGCCATGTTCCCCCAGACCCCCATGGAGGTCAAGATCGGAACCTGGGTTGCCGGCCGCAAGGACGCCCCCAAGGGCACTGTCGAGTGGGCTGGTGGTTACACCGACTTCTCCAAGGCTCCCTACAACGCCTACTACAAGTCCATCACCATCACTGACTACCAGGGCAACAAGGGTGTCAAGGGCGCCAAGGAGTACGTCTATGGTGACCGCTCCGGCAGCTGGGAGTCCATCGTCGTCAAGACCGAGGGCGGCAGCGACGACAGCTCTTCCTCCGCCTCCAAGACTGCCACCAAGACCGACTCCAAGACCACCCTGAGCACCGTCACCGCCTCCGGCTCTGCTTCCGCCACCGCTTCCAGCGGAGCCTCTGCCACCGAGGACGCTGCCTCTACCGCCACTGGCTCCAGCTCCGGCTCCGGCTCCGGCTCTTCCAGCGCTTCTTCCACCGGCACCGCTGCCGGCGCCTCCAGCACCCCCTCTACCGTTGCCGCCAACTCCGGCTTCATGAACAAGGCCAACCTTGCTCTCGGTGCCGCCGGCCTCTTCTTCACCTTCCTGCTGTAAGCGGATCCACCGGAACTCTTGAACGACCGTACATGCGCATAAAGACAACCGAAAAAAATCATGCCGCCCGGAGAGCGGATTGTACAACTTTTTCACTTCCGATCACGATCCTTATCACGACTGAGTTACGCATGTTCCTTCATGGACCTAGCGCGCAGTTGGGGCCATACCTTGCGACATAATCTGGTACTTTTAATGATCACGCTCTCCCGCGGAATTCTGTCTCCAAGAATTGGAGGAAGCTTTTCTGCGACGGCCTTGCCAATGTTTCACGCGAGAGGAGGAAAGTCGAACAATGGGAATTGCATTTCAGATGGCGGATGACTTTTTTCTTGAAGCAGCTGGGTAGTGTTTGTGGAAGATGGACTATGATACCTTTAGAGAAGAGTTGAAGAGGACGCCTTGTGCCATTTCGCCGAGGTAGTTGAGACAGACAAAACGTTGACAATCAAAAACAATTCAGATTTGAATACTATTGCCAGGGCCTTTCGATTTGCGTGAATCTCACGTCATCAAAACTTATACCAGGAGCTCAGGCTCGCATAACATCGTCGAACGTAGGTGCCTTAGTAGCGCGACTTGAGCAACCAAGAAAAAAAAACACCGCGATTGCAATCTCGCCGTGTTTGAAGTTGAGCGACCCTAGCAGGGTCCCCCACCTGAATAAGAATTTTGACTCAAAGAGGAGAGGGGGGCCGGGGGAGGATGGATCCCAGAAATCGGATCCATTGCCACGCTCTACCTTATTCGGTACCTAATTTCCACCTGTGCACCGTGGCCGTCCTCACCAAGTAAGACCCAAGCAAGGAGACTTCGAGCGAGAGGCGTGAGAGGTCTCCTGTAATCAGGTACTAGAAAGTGTGGCAATGTGTGCCTGGGCACCGTCCGGTGCCGCACGGGTAGCCTAAAGTGTCTCTGCGCGTCTGATGTGATTCTAGCGTGACGGACACCGTTGGAGCCAAGGAAAGGATTTTCGTTTTTCTTTTTTTGGGGGGGGGGGGGGGGGGGGGCGGGGGGGGGGGGGGGGGGGAGTGGGTGGGGCGGGGGGGGGGGGGGGTGGGGGGGGGGGGGGGGGGGGGGGGGGGGGGGGGGGGGGGGGGGGGGGGGGGGGGGGGGGAGGAAAGGAAATGGGATAAGTACCGCGCAGCAGAGTCGAAGGATTTGGGTGCGTGAGACTCGCCCGAGTCTTGTTAATCAAACTTGCTTGGGCCCAAGGATCTTGGTAGGCGATCGTCTCTTGAGTCTAGTGTTTAATGTTATTGCGCATCGCCCTGCGGCACAATTGTCTCGATTCTGCCAATGATGTTTTTTGCTTGGCTGCTCGCCCGGTTTCAGTGGCTTTTCTTCCAATTGAAGTCCTGCGGGAATTGTAAGATCCGTAAGGTACCCTGATGCGCTGTGGGAGGCCATATTATGATATTTCCTTCTTCCGTCCACCGCTTGTTGTTGTGTCTATTGTGTATAGATACCATCGCAATGAGGCGCAATCATGAGTCGTCGGGCTCTCTGAGCAGGAGGCTAGTCGTTATTCACGATTTCGATACCAATATCATCGTAGCATGGCCCGGGTTGATGGATGACCTTTGCTGTATCCGTTCCTGTATGGCATGCCTACCACTTCCCAGGCCTGGAGGACCGTGCCGTCCGAACCGCCCAATCAAGACAAAAGTTCCGTGTTGTCCGGGCCTAGAGGGGGGAAAGGGGTTGACGGTGACAGGCGGTGATTTGCTCCAGGGCCCTTGTTCCTCGGTACGTGTATTGACCAATTTTCTAATTGACTCGGCGAGAAGAGGCGGAAAGCGGCCCGGGGTCTCGTTCAATATTGAGCCGGGGGAGATACGGCGACGGTTGACCCGACAGGCGAGGGAGCGGAAGATGCCCGGGGATGAAGGCTGAAAGTCGAGACCCTCATAGAAACCAAAGGTGCGACTATTTCTCCTGGGAAAACCAAAAGCGAAGCTATCGTGGATAGCTTCCCTTTGTGGTGGGTGCATGTTCGTACCTAGTAATTTTGGTGACTGGGCAATGCGCTTCCCAGGATCGGTAAGAAAGTATTCAGATGCCTGCCTGCCTGGGCCAAGGGTTTGATTTTTTTACCTGCGCTTTTATGCCTCCGAGGTACTGAAATTATCAAGAGGGTTGTGAACAAGACGTAAGGAAGCGAGACAGTTCTCAACTCATTCCAAGATGGCATCGGCAGCTGGCTTTCATGAAATCGGGCCTGCCAGGCTTGATGAAGATGGCTTTGTGAAGGGACGGAAGGAAGGAATGAGCGTGCATGGCCCCGTTGGTGGCTTCCTGCCCTTCGGCAACGGAAGGCGGCAGGCACTCACTCCGCTTCGCCCGGCCCCTTACTCCGTTCCTGCTCCCGGAGCTTCAAAGTCGGCCGGCGTTGTGGACGGGTTCGTCTCCGAGGCGGTACCGTTTCATACCGTTTCAATTGGGGTATGTGTGTACATGAACTAAAAACGTGGGCATGGCAGCACGCAGGCTTTTCTGACATATGCAGGTACGGCGCACAATGATGTCGATATCGGGCTTGGCTAGCACCGGTCTGCCGTTGGAGGCAACATGTAGCTTGTAGCCGGCTCATCGGGTTTCGGTGGCAAAAAGAACTTACTCGCGGGACCCTTCTCTTGGTCTTCGGGCGTGGCATTTCGGACCTGCCGCGCCGATCGGCCTCTGCCATGCGGATCTCGCATGGCTGCTGTTACTAGGAAATCAAGCAATGGCCGGCGCGGACGTCATCACCGACGATCGCGGCGCCGGTCCCCTTTTGACGGGTTTGAGATGCACATAGGTAACACCCACCAGCGAATTGTGGCAAGGTGGAAGTCCTACGTTGTTTTCGTGATTTTTTCAAGCACATACTTGCGCGTGTCCTACCTCACGATTGTGCTCTTCTGAGTTGCACATGTCTGTTATCCCAAAAATGAAAACCATCTTCTCAGTGTGAAGCACAAACGGCAATTCGTTTTCACCAGGCGAGGACGGGAACCGTGGGGGTGTTTCCGAGCAGGTTCCGACATTCCGCACGGCGTGGATATGCGGTGATTGAACAAACCCTCACCAACAAACCCCCCATCGCCAGGGAGCGAACACAACCCCACGGCGCCCGCATCTAAAACTCGGGATATAGCATCTCGTATATTGCCCTGCTTCGATTCGGTATCTCCCCGAACGGGAGACGCGGGATCTGACAGCAGCTCGGAGATAGGGGATGCTTTTCGGGCATCTGCATCGTCGTTTGTACAATCATCCGATTCCTGAGACTTTTGATCGGGCCTGGGGATTGTATGAATAGTTGGGGACTCAAAGGGGCAGGAAAGGTGCAGTAGGATCCCGGTGGCCGCCTTGGTAGACGGGCATGCATGCTGCGGCAAGAGCGGAACACATCCAAAAGGGGGACTGCTATGAAAAGACATGGCCAAAGGCACGGTGTGTTGCAGCTTTGAGCAGGATGCATGAAATCGGAGTCAAATTGTTTCCACATGTGTGTTTTGAGGTGTTTTTTGGGGGGGGGGGGGGGATAGAAGTCTACGAGATAAGTCCGGCTGCGTACTAAGCAGAGTTCCATCCTGCGGCCTTGCCAGCTGTACGGATATGGAGTACGATTGCCTCTGTAATTCCGTGGTCCGGAAGGGACCCTTGCCGGGCCACGTTCACGGCATGTCTAGAAACGGGGCATATTCTACCGGTATCTATCTTGTCGGTGAGGTAAAACTCTCCGTCTTCGCACCGGTAGTTGTCAGACTTTCAGCTACCATCTTATCTTCCCAATGACAGCCAACTAGCGTGGCGGTAGTAGAAAGATTGGCATTTAGAATTCCGAGCTACCTCATCGTCGGATGATCAATATCCTCCTGGGCAAAGATAAGAGAAAACTTGAAGATCGATTCACCTCACACAACAGCCACAGTAACAAAGTTGGACTGAACCGCGGCATCGGGCGGGTCATCGGTGACGTGCCGATGGCCCCTGCACGGCAGACTTTGTGATTTCTCCATAAAAATGTACGTTTTCTAGAAGCTTTGACAGAAGCAAATCGAGAACGGCGAAGGCCGGTCAACCGCCGCCCAACGGGAAGAATCCGCAGTTGACGTAAGGGCAAGGCTTTCGAAGGGGGCCACAAAATCTCTTCAAATTCCAAACTGGAGCTCAGTCATCAATGAGATCAATGAGATGAGGCTGAACGATTCATTCAATCGTGTTGGCTGCCAAGTTGGTTTCCCCAGTGGTCTTGGAAACAGGGGATGATCGACCCGGGATGGACTGGAATGGAGAACATGGTGAAGAAAACCTAGAAAAGCTTTTTTGTGCAAATCCCCTTTCAGAGTTGTCTCAAACACCAGAGAGACCTGGACTCCAATTTTTTTTATCGCTCTCTTCTCAGTCCCGCCCCTCAGTTGCGGTGTGAAGCCACCCAAGTGCCGGAAAATACTGGAGTCGATGACATCAAAACACAACCTTTACTCGGGAACGGCGGCCAAAAGAATCCCTGTGCTCACTGCTGGATTGTGGACACATGCCTTACTTCGTTATCCATTCGTTCTTTGAACAGGTAGCTCCTCATCTAGCCGCCGCATTTGCACGTCTCCAGCTCTTCGTGTGTCGACATGTTGAAGTTTCGAACAGCGGACAGAAAGAGCCCGAACCCCCACCCTTCTTCAACAGCAACATCTCGAGCTGTAAGGATTAAGGACGTGCCGGGTAAAGCTCAACCGCCATCTAAAGAGAGAGATACAGGATCTAGACGGAGATGCAGATAATGTGAGAAGCCGTTGGCTCTGTTGCCGTCATTCAATACCGTCCAATCCAAGCATCCATGGCCAGGGTCCCCCGGTGATTCTTGATAGTGTAATGTGTACCCGCGCAGATAGAAGGCAAAAGCACAACCTCCAAGATTTCTAAGCCAGCTTTCCATAGTTACCCACCTCGGCCGGCCCAAGGCCCCGTATCGGCCCGGCGAATCATGACGACGCATATCGACCTTCTTTGACGTTCCGTGCTGGAAAGGTTCCGCACCACCACGGTTCCACCCCCCTTCCAAATTGTTCAAACGGCGTCTCTGCGTCTCTGCGCCTCTGTGCCTCTGGCCTTTCCTGCATCAACGGAGTCTCAGTCAACGGGGGGCCTTCTTCTCATTCCCCTTGGTCCTTGCTCCATCGATCTCGAACCGCGGCACTGAGCCGCACTTAGGCCCATCTAGTTTCCAATCTATTCCCACTTCGTTCCCGCTGTTTGACTCCACCCACGTTGCAGTTTTTTTCTCCTCTGCCCTCTAACACGTAGTACTCGCTGTGTGCTTTTTTGCGCAAAATTCGGTATCCAGGCTTTCCAGCTTCATGGTTCCTTGGACGACCGGCGGCGTTAGTCCCTTCTTTCGCCGATGAGTTTAGGACTTAAGTTGATTTGCAGGATGGGGAGCTAAAGGTTTAAAGAGGCGTGTCATTCCCGCCTTCCGACAATATCATGCTACTCTGTACACACAAGCTTCCTGTTCTCTTATACATCAGATCATCTCTTTTATAACAAAACAAGAAACAACCTTTCTTCAGATACCCCTTCTTCTTCCTATTTTCTAACTCGACACCCATAAATCACAATGGCCGCTACCGACTATAAGTTTGAGGGCTGGGTTGGCCTCGACGAGAAGTCCTCCGAGGGCAACATGGTCTGGCAGGAGTACGAGCCCAAGCCGTGGGAGGAGAACGACGTCGACATCCAGATCACCCACTCCGGTGTCTGCGGCTCCGACATCCACGTCCTGCGCTCCGGCTGGGGCCCCGCCCCTTACCCCGTCTGCGTCGGCCACGAGATCGTCGGTGTCGCCGTCCGCGTCGGCTCCAAGGCCGTCGGCGGCATCAAGGTCGGCGACCGCGTCGGTGTCGGCGCCCAGTCCGACTCCTGCCTCGGCCGCCAGGGTCCCTGCGAGCCCTGCGAGACCAAGAACGAGCAGTACTGCCCCAAGTCCGTCCACACCTACGGCCACTTCCACTACAACGGCGGCAAGGCCATGGGCGGCCACTCAAAGTACCACCGCTGCCCCTCCCACTTTGTCGTCAAGATCCCCGACGGTCTCGAGTCCGCCTACGCCGCGCCCATGCTGTGCGGTGGTGTGACCGTCTTCTCCCCGCTTAAGCAGCACGGCGCCGGCCCCGGCAAGACCGTCGCCATCAACGGCGTCGGCGGCCTCGGCCACATGGCCATCATGCTCGCCAAGGCCATGGGCGCTGACAAGGTCGTCGGTATCTCCCGCAAGGGCGACAAGCGCGACGAGGTCCTCAAGATGGGCGCCGACGGCTACATCGCCACCAGCGAGGAGCCCGACTGGGCCAAGACCTACGCCAACTCCTTTGACATTGTCATCTCCACCGTCTCCTCCGCCAAGGTCCCCATGCAGGACTTCCTCAACCTCGTCAAGCTCGACGGCTCCCTCGTCCAGGTCGGTCTCCCCGACGACGGCGCCTACACAATCTCCCCAGTCCCCATGGTCATGCGCCGCGTCAAGTTCACCGGCTCCCTGATCGGATCCCCCCACGAGATCCGCGAGATGTGGGAGCTCGCCGCCGAGAAGGGCGTCAAGCCCTGGATCCAGGTCCGCCCCATGAGCGAGGCCAACCAGGCCATCGTCGACTTGGAGGAGGGCAAGGCCCGCTACCGCTACGTCCTCGAGAACTAAGCGGGAGGAGATTGTGTGTTTCGAAACATGATCGAACCGTTTTCTGGGGATGCTGTATATAAGATGAGGTTGATGACATGACTTGGGTGCATAGAAAGGGCATAGCGATTGGTTACATTATAGACATAGAGAGATAGACAAAATCTCAACTCAGAAGCTAAAAGCTTCGAATTTCTTATGATCTGGTTTACTCTTATCCGTGATTTTTCTACTTACAAAATGAGTCTGCCTCTAAAGGTAGCGTTCACTGGAAACGCCAAAATTGAAAAGAGTCCCTCGATTAGCTCCGTTGAGAGTAGCCCTTTGTAGATATTTCTGAAAGAAATCGAGATTTCCCGGTCTGTGAGCTTCGGTGTGGCTCCGGATGATGTCACTCCGCCTCGGTGAAGGAGTCACCTTACATCCTGGCATGTGGAGAAGTGACATGGTCCCCAAACAACGACCATCTCAATTCAACTCGGAGCACTTACATCTCTCCGATCAAGTCAGACGGACTTTTCCCAACTGCGAGGCCATTGGATTTACAGTCCCCAGACTGCTGGTTTCAATGATTGGATGATTATATGCCCCTGCTGCTCTTGCTTATCCTCTTGCTTAGCCTCGGTGCCTAATGGCGAACGCCCTTACGGATAAGTAGGTAGGTTGCCTAAACGCACCGCGATATAAGCTGCCCCCAGACAGCATGACGAGAAAACCTCTCACGGGACTCGGTCATATCAGCTTGACTCTCAGGAGGCTATCTACATCCTTAAGCCTAAAATCACCTAGTTCGTAGCATCCGTTCAAAGCATTCAATCACACCTCACTAATCACTCCCCAATAAAGCCCTTTGCCGTCCAATCTTCTTAAAAGCCATGGCCCCCCATAACGACGTCGCCGCATTCCACGAGGCACTGGCCTCAAGCAAGCGTATCCTCGCCCTCTGCGGCGCCGGCCTCTCTGCCTCGTCCGGCCTGCCGACCTTCCGCGGCGCCGGAGGACTCTGGCGAAACCACGACGCCACGGACCTAGCGACTATGAAAGCCTTCCGCCGGGACCCGGGCCTGGTGTGGCTATTCTACGCGTACCGGCGACACATGGCTCTATCAGCGAAGCCGAACAAGGCGCACTATGCCCTCGCCGCGCTGGCGGAAAAGAATCCGGATTTCTTGTGCCTGACGCAGAACGTTGACGGTGAGAACGACTCCAACATGTTCCCCTGCAAAGAATTAAAAGACAGCTAAGCGTTATTCTCAGGTCTCTCGCCAAGGGCAGGACATAAGGAGGACCAACTCCGCCTCCTCCACGGAAGCCTATTTGACATCAAATGCGCCAACCCGCAATGCACTTACATCGACCACAACAACACCCAAGACCCCCTCTGCCCAGCCCTTGCCCCGGCCTCTGAAGACCTCGCAGACCCAACCAAGACTCTGCCACTCCTCGACCCGACCAAAAAGCTCCCCACCATCGACGAAGCAGACCTGCCCCACTGCCCATCCTGCAAAACGGGCCTGCTGAGGCCCGGCGTCGTCTGGTTCGGCGAGGCGCTTGACGAGGCCATGCTCGACGGCGTCGACGCCTGGATCGGGCAAGGGAAAGTCGACCTCATGATCGTCGTCGGTACGTCGGCGCAGGTGTGGCCGGCCGCGGGGTACATTCTCAAGGCGCACGCGGCCGGGGCGCGGGTGTGTACCGTCAACCCCGAGGCCGAGGATGAGGGCCAGATGGGCAAGGTGAAGAAGGGGGACTTTGCGTTCGGGAGGGACGCGGCGGAGGTATTACCGTTGTTATTGGAGCCTGTTATTGGAAAGATGAGAGCGGATGGGCGGACGTATACGGAGGATTGGAAGGCTGAGTAGAAGAGACATGAATGCGGTTTTCGCTTATTTCTTGAACTGGTTGCAGAGGATGGATCAATGACGAAACGTTGCCAGGGGTAATAGTTCTGTTGAGCGTTCTTTGATCTTATATGCCACTGTCAACCAACTCTTTGAGCCATCCGAGTATGCCGCGGTGGACTGTAGTCAATCCCAATCTTTTGTGACTTTATGGGTCCAAAAGAGAGCTCCCAAAAGTGGCCAAATAAAGGCCATAGGGGAAAGCCATTCCAGTAAAAAGGAGACAAGGTCCGTGATTTAATTGTTTTTAATCCCTCAAGACATAGACTTCTCGCGACATCAGTGACTGCTTCGTTATGGGAGGAGGTGGGTATGTTGCAAGTTGTGGATAGTGGCCTCAGAATATTGGATATCTCAATAGTGACACAGTAAGTGCTAGAATTTTGTGCCTGAATGTTATTGGGCAGTTGACTCGTCATTCAAAAGAGCTTCTAAGGTGTTGAACTTCGTACCAGAGCGGCCAATCTGGTGGTACAATAACTCTCTCATCGTGGAATTCAAGTGAAAAATGATACTTCAGCCACAAAAAGGCAATGGCCGATATCCTCGACTACGACACAGTGCCTGTTTAATTCATAAACTGTCATTCTGGAGATGTGTAGTCAAAATAGGGTACTCAAGCAGGCACAATGGCCCAACTTGCAGCTCGTCCTCGCCAGCGGCTGCCCGACAGCAACATACTAAGGTAAGCCCCCGCCAGGAACGAGAACACCATCCTTTTCCCAGGTCCCAGAAGCCCGGATTGACTGCTCTAGAGTACCTCATGCTTCACCTGGTCTCCATCGGGAAGGTCAAGTCAACGTTCCTTGTCAAGCCCGCAGAGACATGCCGTGGGGTGTGGGGGCTCAGCGAGACAACCCCTCGGTCAGCCGTGGGATGAGTGAGTCCTGGCAGGGTCCTCCGCATATGACCTAGGTTTCACAGTCCTACGTAGGAGGTACGAAAAGCCCTGGTACGAGGCATGGCCTTGACAGGCTAGTTGGAAGCCAGAAATCATATCAAAAGCTATGGAAAAGCTAGAGGAGTGAAATGAAGTAGTGCGGTAATACTCAAATGAGGCTGACACATCTCGGAGGAGTCGTCGCAGCTATATAACTGAAGTTGCGGAATACTTACAATGATAGAAGAAGAGAAAAGAGAAAAGACGCACGCCAAATCTTTGGCACTACAGCACCACCGAGAACTCGACGGGAAGCTGATTCTAGAATCGTGCGTTGGCATTTGACAAGCAGTAGGCGGGAGCTGCCGAGAGTAAGCGCATCGTATATCAGGCATCCATATATCTCCAAAGAGAAATGAGGAGACAATAAGAGAGCCTGGCTATTACAAAACGAGGTTCAGAGGGGCAAGGAGAAAACAAGATCTTGTCTCTTCAACGCTATGTCTAGACGACCACTCCTTGATCGACAAGCCATTACCATAGGTTGGGTCGACTGTTGGTCCCATCATAGCTGCAGGACACGTGGAAATTCTTCCCATCACTGAGTGAACATTCGCGCGGCATGTAGCGGCTTAAGGACGAGTGGTATTCCTGGACTTCCAAGACTTCTAATGACACTAAAACGATGGGAATAGCCCCTGACAACTACACGGAAATCTATACCCAACCGGGGGTAACAGTGATCGTTCTCCGCTCGCCTTATAATCCCAGCGAGTAGAATCACAAACTGACCAAATACGGACGAGAGTGGTGCCAGCGATGTTAGGCTCCGTGGAAGGTCAAAATGTCAGGATTCGCACCGCATGACGCCCCGCCCCCGGATTTCCAAGCCTGCAGACGTGGCACAGGCGGCTCGCTGCTGATCTTTGTGAGGGCGATGTGGTGCCAAAACCCTGATTCCACCCGTTGAAGGCTTGAATGCCGGGGCCTGTGTTGTGTAATACGATTGGGTTGCCATCTCAAGATGCCCGATTTACATGACGACATGAGATTTCTTGCGAAGCCGAGATAAATGCGGAGGAAGCCATTGACATAATGACGGGCATGATTCTCCATCAATCATAGACAGGGGAGAATGTAATATTCCAGACCATAGGGTGTGAAACACGACGTCGATGAAGGCGACATATCGTGCGGCTGAAGAGCAGACTGTAATCCGCGGGGAACAATATCAGATCGCTGTCAAGCAAAGTGCGGGGAAAGCTGGTCTTCTGTCTGGGAAGGGGGGCTGCCCGGTGGTGGCGATGTGCCGTTATCCGACGTGATGGGCAGTCCGAGTGAGTCTCGGGGTGGAAAAGGGGGAAAGGTCGTGCGGCGCAGCTGCAACATCAGCGAAACTTGCTGGCAACGACGTCTGCCACACCATGTGGGCGGAGTCCTGCTCCATTCTTGAGGGGGAGACATTTGGTGGTCAGCAGACACTTGCAACTATTCCCGAAGGCGCTAACGACAGTTATCAGACGCTTGACCGGCGCAACTGGACGAGCGGACAAACACTGTAGAAAAAGAAGACGAAATGCACTGTCGATGGTGGCATGAGGAAAAGGCCAAGACATCGGGCACAGCTACAGCTCTTCCACAAGGTCACGGGGGTCCGTACTTGCATCTGGAGGACGGCCGACGCAGGAATATGGATCCGTAAGCAGAATAGAATACTAGGTTCACCGTCATCTATGCGCTGATGATGACAGGACCTTGCTTTCTACAGTCCCAAGAAGTGGGAATGAGTGGTGGATGAGAATGAAGTTGATGCAGAGTAAGACTGCAAGACCTGTAGGACTCGGCACGCGACCAAAAGCAGGCAGGCAGAGAAACACTGCCACCGACAGACAGTTTCGATCTAAGACGGATACATGTCGTCTGAACGCACGTCGTAAATCATGAGGGCTGCCTTACCGCCTTGAGAAGCTGGGAATCGTCCATGACAAGGGGACCCCTCAAACGAGTTGGCACCTGGCTTTCCGGGGGAGCTGGCACGTTGGCTAGCGTGGGGGTTAGTGTTGTCTAAAGTCTGTCGATCCGTCCAACATCCGATGGCACCAAGGTTGTTCTCACTCATGAGTCGTTACGCTTGGTCCTCTCACAATTCGATTTGGACGTTTGCAGGGCGCTTGAGGAAACGATGGCTTGAAAAACTATTCAGAACACATGACGAAGACAGTTTCCCAATCTGGAAACTG